GTTTCTTTGTTGGTACGTTCTTCTGCATTTGTCACTTGCATCTCGGTATGTCAAATTTTCGAAAGCCATCAAATTTTTAATATTCAGTTGTCTCTGATATTCTGGGCAATTTTTGTTGGTGGATCGATGGTTGTTTTTGCAGTAGTGACACTTGCTTTCGCATGAATATTCTTTTATATTTCCACTTTCAATTGGGTCCTCATGTATTTCTCCTGCACAGTTGAAGCATTTCGGTTTTGCTTTGCAATTCTTTCTTGTATGACCATAGAGTAAGCAGGCAAAGCATTGTGTCACAGGTGGTATGTAAATTGATATTTTCATTGCCATGCCACAGAAATAAACCTCTTTTGGTAGAGTTGTTCCGCTAAACGTAAACAAGCAGGTACCTGTGGGTATGTACTCGGGCTTATTATCTTTTAGAACTTTCCTATTCATTCGTTTAATGGATATTATTTGTATTGGAGAATTAAATTAAATGAAATTAAAAAGCTGTAGCCTTCCAAACACGTTAGAAAATGCTACAAATATGGCAACATGTTTACAACAGAAGCTTTGGGATACCTGGCGCCGCCTGCCTATCGGTTTCCAATCTTAGGTAAAGAGATTCAGCAAACGTAGCAAAGAAAAGACCCATTTTTGAAATTAATGTTCAAGGCGAGTTTATCGTCTCATCCTTGTTGGACGGTGCTTGTGTCGTCTGAGTCCCTCCGAATTTTCCTTTTTTTTTTCAATTATAGGTAGCACAATTTAAATTAAGCTCAAGGCCACACAAGATGGTTCGTAAATTAAGCCAAAAACGCTCACAAAATTTGAGGAAAATCACCATTTTCAGGCTAATAAACTGAGCAAAACGTTTAAAGTTAATGAAAATTGTTTCGTTAGATACGAACCTTGCATGTACATTAATTCAATTTCGGTCGGTTTAGATTATGTAGGCCTTCTCGGGTTAATAACTTTTTGTTTTTGCATATACTTTTTAGTTTCATTTGAAAAATCACTTCAACCATGCTTATACACTAAAAACTCAAAATTAAGCGAAAGGAAAAAACCGCAAAAATACGTAGCAACACCGCATTGTGTTTCCATTCCAGAAGGAAGCAAAAAATCCGCCATCTGACTATAGACGCGCTAAACAACCTCAATCACTTACCGACGTTAGCAAAGATATTGAAACGTTTGCGAGAAACACAATTATTATGCATCTTAGCGACGATTTTACACGTGGAGTTATGAATTGTTGATACCTAAAACACGATTTAGCAGCAAATAGCAGCGGACAACGTCATTTTCATGCATAAATAAGCGGTTTTGTAAAAGCGAATTTCCGAATGCTGTGGTTTTTGGCTTAATTTATGGATCATCTAGGAAAGCTGAAACTGCATAATTTGCAGTGTTCTTTTAGGTAAAAAAAAACTAAAAATTCGGAGGGACTCAGATGTAACAAAAAACTTATAGAGGGTGTCCCAAAAGTAATGTCACAAAACAAAATGGTGGATTCCTGGGGTGAAAATATGATGATTTAACACAACTTATCTTAGTCCGAAAGTTGACGGTTGCCGACATACAGGGCGTCAAAGTTAAATTTTAATTTCAGTTTTTCGTTATTCTACTTTGAACGGAGCTGCACATTTTAACGAAATTTGGTATACAGGGGTTTTCGAGCATAAGAAATCCAAATATATCATCAGATTTTAATCAACTTGTAGCAAAAACCACTTACGGCGATATCCGGCAAAAAAATAGTTTCAACTTGTTGGTCACCCGGTATTCTAACTTCTAAGCTGGTTGGGGCTAATCGCCTATTAATTTTGTACAAAAGAGGTATTCTTAGTCGATGTCCCAACAAGCAACAAATATTTACTAAACATCATTATTTAACAGTAGAATCTTTTTATCTTAATCACTAACAATAAAACATTTATTTTCTACGGCAATTACTCAAAATGTCTCCCGTTAACTTCAATATATTTTGAAATGCGTTTATTGAGGAATCGTCTAATTTAAAAAAACATATTTTTATTTCGAAATCATTCGGCGGCATTCATAATTTTATTTATTAACTCATCTCGGGTGCCTACCGTTTAATCGTACACTAATGATTTTAAATAACCCCAAACACAAAAATCTAATGGGTGAAAGTCAGGACTTCGCGCCGGCCAAGCCCAAGAACCTCCACGACCTATCCACCGATTTGTAAAATGTTGGTTTAGGTAATTACTAACGGCTCTAGCAAAATCGTCCTCTAATAAATTCTGTACCGGCGTAAAATGCCAAGGATAGCGATTTTCTTGCTGAAAAATCCTATGAACTGAAGACTTGCTTACGCGAGTTGCAGTTTCCAATCGTCTTGTGCTTATTTCTGGATTTTCTTCAACACGAACCAGAACGTCTTCCTCTTGATCTAGAGTTGAAATTTTCGGACGTCCCAAGATATTAACTTTGGTCCTAAAGCAACCAGTTTCCCCTAATCGGGGGTAGATGTCTCCGAATAACTTCAAATTCGGTTGCTTCCTATTGGGACACAATTCTAAGTAACGCCGTTTGGCACTGCGTCCACTAAAATTTTGCGGGACATAGACTGTAACCATACCTCCCATTTTCAAGTTCGAAAAAATTTTGCCTTGGCATATTAACTAATTGAAATCAAAACTTAAGTATGTAGTGGCACTAGTGTCACTTCGACAGACATCAAATAAATCCGTTTCGCTGCGTCACACTACTTGACATGCATTGTAAAACGTCCTCACAATTCTGCATTTTGCAGTTTAATGGCAAATATCTCGGAAACAGAGGCTTGTTGGGACATCGCCTAAGAATACCTTTTTCATGCAAAATTAATAGGCGATTAGACACAAGCAGTTTAGAGGTCAGAATACCGGGTGACCAAAAAGTTGCAACCATTTTTTAGCTTTTTGCAAAATCTGATGGGACATTTGGATTTCGTATGCTCAAAACACCCTGCATACCAAATTTCGTGAAAATATGCAGCTCCGTTCAAAGTAGAATAACGAAAAACTTAAATTAAAATGTAACTTTGACGCCCTGTATGTCGGCAACCGTCAACTTTTGGACTAAGGTAAGTTGTGTTAAATCATTATATTTTCACCCCAGAAATCCGCCATTTTGTTTTGTGCCATTACTTTTGGGACACCCTGTATAAGTGAGCGCTCAAAAATGCAGACGCTCCCCTGGTGGTTAAAATTATAACTACAAGTTAACTAGTAATTTTACATTGGTCACATTCGTGATTTGTATTGTTTTATTCTAATCAACTGTTGCAAGCTTTTCATATTTTTCCATTCAATTCATTCATTCGTTCACATTAATTTCTATTATAATTAACTCTCACTTAAGTTTCACTCCCAAACAGCACAAAGACATCTTAAAGACGTCTTTAAGATATCTAATTCACATATGTGAGACTTCTTAAAGACTGTTGTTACAAATGAAGGCGTCTTGAAGAGATGTCTTAAAGACGTCTTGGAGAGACGTTTTAAAGGGACGCTGTCGGGTGCCCCGTCGCAAAACTACCCGTTTTACCACGAGTACACGGTTCGTTGTTAGTAAAAAGGCCATTTAAACTAATAAACAACTCCTTTATTTAATTTTAATAGGGGGTAAACAATTGTTTGCCCGGTCGTGGAACTATCAAACAAAAAACTAAACTGTGCGTACTCTCGACGTCAGTACAACCCCCGGCCAACGCCCTTCCCTGGTACCTCGACGCTCCACCAGAGGCAGCCGTGCGTGGCTCACTTAAGCGCCGCCATCTCTATTCGTCCTTCGTCCATGACGTGTAATATAGAGACGTATACTTACATAGCTCTGACAGGACGCCTTCTTGAAAGACGTTTTCAAGGCTGATAGGAATATTCTATGGGAAATTTCCTATTAGGAATGTAAAATAAAATAACATGTTTTTATTTCACTTTTTTTTGTTATTTGCCTATCAAATACAGGCTATTTTGTTAGCAGATAATTGCCAAGATAACACCCAAACAAACCAAGTGCATACAGTCTAACGGAAAAGATTTGATCATGTCAAGTTTGGATAGTTTTTCTAAAATTGGCTTCCGAGTTGATGATCAGTTTTTTGTCTGAAGTCACAATCTGTCCTTATACGTAGGTTATGTATGTCAAAAAAATACACCCTGTTAGAGTAATTTCCTTCAACATTACATTTTGAACAGGAAGAATAGTCAGAATGACCTTTAATATATTTTACATATGATTTTGCAGGAGAGACAAAATAATATTCGAATATTCGAAAAGCGAATAATTATGTGTAGTCATAACTCGAATATTCGAATATTCGAGTACTCGAATACTCGAATACACCAACATTATCAAACTCACAAGTTGCAAATATCTTTATAAGCACTTTGTATACTTTTATAAAATAAATTATTCATATTCTACAAGCATTTAAACAAATACCCATATATCTACAAGCAAATGAAAATAATCATATTTACTGTCCTGCAAATGAATATAAAATTACGTCTCTGTGTTTTGGTCATTCGCGTCATCAACTTTTGCGCGGTGTTACAATTAATGTGGCGACATAGTCACTTTTTTATCCGTTGCGGCTAGTTGCCAAAAATGATATGAGATAACGATTTTTCTTCTTCGAAAACGGTGAAAGGAAAACGAATACGAATAGAAATACTCGAATATTGGAATACCCGAATACCCGAAAATACGAATATTCGAATATTCGTTAGATATTCGAGTATTCGACTAATTTTACTATTCGAATAAACCACTAAGCGAATATTCGAATATCAGATTTTTTAAAATTCCGAGCCCTAGTTGAGACACTTATTCAGCCCAAAATGATAATAGTGTCCGGGCATCATTGATTTTAGTTCAACTGACCTGTTTGAAGCAAAGGTTTTTGCATCCAAAGGCAACTCTTAACAAATAGGTTGTACTAGTTTTAATAAGTCATTTAAAGCAGTATGGGCTATGTTGTGCTTCATTGTGCATTATGCCAACTTTGTTTGAAATGAATTATTACTACTACTCAGTGTTGCCAGAATTATCATCGCGAAGGTACTGAATAGATCTCGAAAGCGTACTGAATATGTACGTACGAGTATTCGACGTTTCGGGATAACAAAGACAAAGTTGGCTCCCAATTGAAACAAGTATTTGGCCTCAAAAATTCTTTAGTATGCAACATATCGCATGTACTGACTAAAAGCCTATTGCGTTCTTTCCTTTTCGTTCAGCGAATGAAGAATGAGGCAAACTCATTACAGTTTGAACAACTTTTGTCAAATTGGGAAACATAAATTCATTTAATTCATTTCTCATGTCGAAAATGAAAGACCAAAACTGCACAAAACTAGAGTTTTTAGCTTTTTGCACAATATCCTCTACATCAGGTAATAACCTCCATTCCATGTTAATAGTTTCCAAATCGGATACTTTAATTTGTGGAATATAGTTTAAAATTTCAATGATGGATCTAACTTTTCCACTGGTTGCAGTTTCGGGATCAAAATTAGACAAAAAGTGTAACAGTGGGTTTGCAAAATCAAATCTCTGTCTAATTTAGCTTGCCAATTCAACATAAAAAGCCAGAACGTTCGTCTTAAGCTTTTTTAGTTCTTCTGGACTTACATTAATTTCACTAAGCATTTTTTCAGCCTTGGCACCCAAATACAGTTCCTTCTCTGGCAAAAAAATTGCTGGATTAGTTGGTAAAATTTGAGAAATATCAACAGCATTTAATTTTTACATGGTAATAAAATTTCTTAGAATTGTTCTATAAAACATTTTTACATTTGGTAAAAGTTTGTGAATTTTGGGCTCCTCACTTTGAAATTCCAAATTAATTTTATTGGTTATATCTAAAATGTAGCTCAAAAATAATAGATACACTTGGAACACTGGGGTGTTAAGTGCATCCAAAATACTTTGTGTGCTTCGCAATTTGTCTTCCAACTGATAGTTGGTGAAGTAAAGCTTCAACGCATCCCATGAGTCCAAAATCCTATTTGTGACGGCCTAAAAAAGTAGAAAATCGCGTTTGAGACGGATGTAACATCACTGATGGTTTGATGTTACAAATTTGATGTCAACAAATTGTTGAAACTCCGTTAAAGCTTCCGAGCGTTGGCTGCTGTTTGAAAAAAGATTAAAAACATTTCTGCAAAACTCTTCCACGCTTTTGGAAAGCTTTCTAGTAGCAGCTGATGCACATAAATGTAGGGAATGGCATGTGCATCCCATTACAAAAATTGATGGGTTGACTTCCATCAACTTTGCCTTTACACCAGCCTTGTTTCCCATCATCACCGCTGCATTGTCTGCCCCGAATCCGATCATATTTTCAATTGGTATATTCCGGGTTTGTAAAAGATTTTTAACGCTATTATAGATGCTGCTTGCGTCGCAGCTATGCAAATGTATTAGACCAAAAAAACTATCCTTAACTTTATTAACGGTGTTGT